CCCCCCCTGTTTTTTTTTGTTTGTTTGTTTTTTACATTTTTGTATGGCCCACATTTTAAGTGGCTTCGGTTTTTCATGTGAAGAAGCAATCTGAGGAGAAGGACGATGACCACAACTTCTTTACCTTCACAGAGACAGAGCTAAATCGGTCTGCATGTATTGGAAAGCTGGACTGTTTTAGAGCCTCTGCTGGGACTCCTCCAGCAAGCTAGAGGGGGCAGCCCTCCTTTCCTTGGTTGGTATTTTTAGAGCAGCACTGGCCTGGGGGACCCTAACTCAGCATACATGCAACAAGATGAGAGAGGTGCTGCTAATGCTGCTTGAGAAAAGGTGGCATCTCAGTGTTGGGCAGTGGATGCAAGCTGCAGTATGTGGGTGGGATATCTGATGCACACAACTGTTTTCCAGTTTTAGGCTTTGGTGTAGTAGTGATCATTGTGTAAAACGCATGGAAGGTAGAAATATTTTGGGCTCAGTTAATTTCCAGCTTATAGAAGCAGTTACTCATCTGTGCTAGTTTTCTGTTTAGGTCTATAAAATAAAATAAAAAAGTCATGGTTTTTACCTAGTCTTTCCAGCATCATAGTGCAAAAGCTAGTATAGAATCGCCTGCACTGATAGTTAAGTTATTTATTTACCAGGATATAGTTATATATATTACTTTGTTAGAGTTATCCGATACCATGTCTTGCACTATCCTACTGTATATTACTGTACACTACTATTCTTATTATATATATTGTATATCTTATATCTTATTCATCTGTTCCTCTGTCTCTCCTGCTGCTTCGAGCATGTACATGACAAAAGAATTTCCCTCGGGATAAATAAAGTTATTCTTATTCTTATAGCATAGTGCTGAAGCTATAATAGACATTGTTTCTGGTTCTCATACTACTACAGGTAGGCTCTGTTTTGAACAACCTGGTATTGTTCTGTCAGGAAGCAAGTCATTCTTTATAACTCATCTGTGTAGCAAGAACAAAGGTCCTCGAAGTACACGGCATTAACAATGAGGTTTTTCAAGTTTGTATGAAGGCCTTTTGTGACTCACCTGTGATTTTTGAAAAGCAAAAAAAAGCCCCAGTAGGCACACAAGTGTATGTTCTGGTATTAGCTGGGTGGAGCCATTCTGCTCTGGTCATGCATTGCTTCTTATCTTTCAGGGCATGAATCAAGGCTAAATGCTGACTTTGAACTCCAGAAATAAAGCCAAGCTTTAGAACTTGTGGAAGCAGAGAGAATATTTCTGTTTCTTGGTTTGTTCTGATATTTTTAAAAGTGTAAAAAAAAAAAAATAATGCAGATATGGGGGAACTAGTTTGGATACCTATGTAAAATTTTTGTACTAGTAATTTAAATGATGAAAAATGTGTATTTCAAATTTTGAAGCCTGGCAGCTATTGGGTAACAGGTTTTATTTATTGGTAATATATGACTCATTTAATATGTTAGGTTAGGTTGTTACCTAGGAAACCGTAACCTGGACCCGAGACCACCGTCAGCTTCAAAGTGATACACAACAAGCAGTTTGGTCCTTGTCTGGATGCAAGTTTGCGACTTGTAAAGCACAAGTTGTGTGGCATTAGATCCACCCTCCATCATTATGGCCAGGCTCAAAACACCAAAATGTCATCTGCTGAAAATCCTGAACTTGAAGCTCCATAAACAGTGGGTGAAATCACTGTAGTAAAGCACATCTTTTATACTTTTTGCATGCATGAAGATGAACACCTGTTAGCTGCTAACAGAGCCCATAAAAATATTAAGTTGTAGCTGTGTCTAAATTCACAAATTTGGATATTTTGACATATGTTACATCAGAATAATCATATGAGCTTGCGAATTGTCTGGCAGGTAAACTCTATAAGCATGATTTATAACATCCATGCTGTGCTCCCAGCTAACCAAACATCATGAGACATTGTCCAAGCTCCCAGCCTAATTGTGCTGATTGAGTTTGGGGTACCTCTGACTTGGCAAGAAGTTTTTTTTTGTTTTGTTTTTTCCAACATGATATGTTCAATCTGTGCTCTATAGTGCTGACCGTAGTTAAGGACCTAATTTAATGCCAGTGCTGTCACAAGATGGTGGGCTGTTGTGCAACTTTTGTTCTGTTTCTGGGTGTCCAGTCTGCATCATCATGGGATGTCTATATGAAATTAGCTGTTTTGGAGACATGAAGGGTAATTGATTCAGGTGATCACTTGAGCGACATACAGGAAAAAGAGGTAATCTTTGATATCCCAAGCGAAACTGTGCTGTCATAGGTCGTTCCACCCCACCATCCGTATTGGATAGGCTATACAGTTATTAAAAAGAACAAAAAATAAGTAAAGATTCTTATTTTAACATCCCCAAGGAGTGAAAATTGGTGTCTTTCTCTCAAGGTTTCTTTGCTGTAACCTTGTATGTAACCTGACGTGCACCTCCTGAGAAATTTAACTACATGTTGGGGCGACACAGCCCGCAACGTTAGCTGGACATAGGACATAGATTTCTCGCAGAAGTCTAAATTAAGCTCATGTCTTCATAAAGCCTATGTTATAAGGAGGAATGTACAGATGACTCATCCTTGTTGACTGCCATCAGTTTATCGATTAGGTGTGAAAAGGAGCAGGAAGCCTAAAAAAATCTGTCCAGAATTTCACAGCTGATGGATTTCTAGTTGTTGTACTTGTGGCAAAACTACCGTACAGTGTAGCCTCAAGCCAAGAAACTTGCTATTCAATAAGGCTTCTTAATCATGTTGTTGTAATTGAGTTACATGTCAGTATTTTTCAGCTAATCCTTTTTAAATGTATTTTTGAAGCTTGGCGCCAAAACACAGCATGCCTCTTTGTCTTCCAGGGAGGAGGTGTAACCTGAAATATTGAATTTCTGAACTGCTGTGTAAACATGTAGCCATCTTCTTCAGTATTGTGGCTTTTTTTGAATCTAGCAGACTTACTGGGGGAAATAAAAGCTTAATTCTTGGAGTTTCAGTCATCTGTGAAGTTTTCAGAATTTTGGATTTAAACCATACACCAGTGTTGGAGACTGTGCTCTGACATACAAAGCTAACGCTGCTTTGTTTTTTGTTTTGTTTTTTGTTTTTTGTTTTTTGTTTTGTTTTCCAGGCCCTTTTACAGATGTAGTCACCACCAACCTCAAACTGAGGAACCCTTCTGACAGAAGAGTGTGTTTCAAAGTGAAAACGACAGCACCACGTAGGTACTGCGTACGGCCAAACAGCGGTGTCATCGATCCTGGATCAAGCGTCAACATCTCTGGTAAGTTTTTATTTGTTAACTGTCTTTTGGCCGCCCATTTGAACATGTAGTTTCGGACTGAGTGTGAGCGAATAAAGGAAATGTTCAGTCGTAGGTCAACAAGTTGGAGATTTCAGTTAAGGGGGAAAAAAAGTCCAAGTGACCTATGCTGTTTTTACAATGATTTCTGTATGATGTTTTTCTCATGACCCTCAAGGCCACAAGCAATAAAGTTGTTCTGTGTACAACAAGAGTTCCTTTAGCTTTAATTTCTTCAGGCTTTATCATCTTCTCTGTCTACCTTTTGGAGTAGATCAAGTTGTGCCAGAGACCTTATCTCAACAGTTTTCCTTTAAGCAAGTTGACATATCTAAGATGCTATACATTACTATGTCTCTTGAATGCTGGTTTATCTTATGTTTGCTGATGACATTAAGGTAGCTTGGGTACCATCTGTTTGTGTTTAGGCTCCACAATTGTCCATCCAGGGTGGCCACTGGGGCCTAACAGAAATATTGGAGTTGCGATAAAACAAAACTTCTTATAATGAGGAATATTAACAGAACACCTCTGAAAGCAACCCATATTAGCATCTTAATTGAAGTAATACATTACTCTGATTAGTGGTTATAATTTCATCTTTTTTGGTATGCAAATTTGGCTGCAGGCAAAATGGGGTTTATTGGGACAGATTAGTTTCAATTTGGCTGGTTATTAAGATTCATTAGTCATTTTTAAAGACAGTTGCCTGCATTGTCTACAAGCACTGTTTCAGCTCACGGCAGTGAAAGAGGAAAATGGGTTGCTTGTTTTTAAAACAGTGACCCTTTTCCTCCAGCAGGTTTAGCAACTTAGTTATTTGAGCTCCAGCGTGCTCAGCATTACTATATGTGAATGTCTGTAGAAACGTCTCACTTTTGCACCATAGTCCCGGTAATGTTTATTGTGCTTTTAAATTCCATAATGGTTAAATGCACTGCTTCTGTTTGTTCTTTGCAAACATTGCCAGTTTAATGTATGACAAATGGCATTATTTCAATGTTTGTGTGCAGAAATATCCACACATTAAAGTTTCAGAGGGCTTTATTTCTTTGATGCTTTTAGTGAACAATGACATTGCGAGCTTGTATTGAATTAAGTTGGAAAATGAATGACATCCTCTTGAAACTCAATAGATCCTTTAATGAACCTATTTAAGAAGGGAGGG